CAGTACCTGTGACAGTCAGAGTGGTGCCAGGTAAACTGCTCTTCCATTCAGACCTCTGTGATTTGAATCTGAACTGATACTGGGCTGAATCGCTCAGTCTCAGTTCATTTATTCTCAGAGTGGAGCGCCCTCGCTCTGTTTCAAAGACCTGAACACGATGTTTGAACTCTGGGACTTGGAGTAAGTCCACAGGTCGACGGCGATACTGCTGCACATCCTTACGCTTAACGAACCAGAATTTAGATGTGATAGAATATTGGGAACTGTAACTGCAAGAGATGTTAACTGATGAGCCTTTAAAGGCACAGATGTTTCTGTCCATGTAATTCACTCTGTCACATGAATTTCCATGAACACCTGAAAAACAGAAACCATTTGATTATCACCATGACAACTATAATCTTTACTGCTGTAATTAACAGTAATTCACAGTCGGCTGTTTGACACGTCACAGAATAAACAATGCAGAAAAGATGCTACATTATGCTTTACAGAAAACAGCTATGACATTTGAATTCAAGCTACATATGTGCTTTTATTAGTGATCGGACTTTATTACCTCTGCCAGGAGGTTATGTTTTCACCCCAGTCTGTTGGTTGGTTTGTGTGCGTGCACAGTTACGCAAAAATGACTGGAAAGATTTTGGTGCAGATCCAGGATTTTTCTTTCACTTTCTTTAGCATTGCGAGATCGTGTTTTTCAACATTTCTGTGTTTTCTCTGGATATAATTCATGGATCTTGATGGAAAGAATCTGACATATTTAGAGGACTGATATCGATGAGTGTGTGAAATCTGGTGCAGCTTGATTTAATCTGAAGGGTTTGTTGGGCCTTGGTGGAGGAATGTGCTCTACTAGTCATTAAAGTTAATGGTTAAACTGTAGAATATTTATCATAAAGGTTTGATAACAAACATCTTAGGAATCATTGACAATGGTTTTTTAATATATTTCAGCTGATATCATTYTTTTACTCCGTAGATCATTTCAGCATCAGGCCTCAAATCCATTTCAGACTCTAGTCAGGGTGCAGTGTTTTAGATCAAAAGGTTCAAAGAGCATAAAATCATTGGTCATTGGAAGAAGTAAACTCACA